CAATATGTCAAAAAAATAAATGACCTAACTTTAGAAATTCTACTATAAGGATGAAAAAGTATCATATAAACATAGTTCTATTTTTAAGACTATTGTTTCGCAAGATGTAGAAACTTTTTCCTCACATCAGAAAATTTATTAGTTGTCAAGTGTAGAATTTCAAACACTATTTTCATTTCTGCACGTTTGGATTCAAATATTTTGGAGAACTTATAATAATATGAAAAAAATATGAAAAAATTCATAAAAGACTAGTATTTTTTTGAACATTTATTACATATATTTCGACAATCTTTAAATAAAAAATTTATATATTTATGTTTATATGACTTTTTTTTATGAATAAAAAAATATATCAAAGTTGGTTTTATTTTCTTGATATTCAAACATATTTATATATCATATAACATCTATTATATATTAGTAATATTATATATTAATATATACTAATAATACTAATAATCTAATATATATATATATATATATGTATAATATATATGTGTTTTATTATTGTATGTGTAAATATTTCCTAAATATGTGTTCAATTATAGATCGATTTAAAAATTTAAGGAATGATTTTTTAAGTAGAAATAATACCAAAATCAAAAATAAAAAAATTATTCGAATTATTAAGAATTAATGAAACTATTTTAAAACGAATGAATTCAGAAGAGTTCAAGGAGTTCAACGGAAAGTAAAGTGAGCCTCAAATCATAATCTTCTTTTCCATGAAAAATATGAAATACTGCTTTCCACGTATTGTTAGATTTAAAGATTATTATATCTCTTATTGAATTATTTTAAATTTTTTTATATAGGAATATTGTCGTCGATATTTTATTGTATTTATTAAAACATAATTTTTTTATAACAAATCACTCCTTATATTTTGAATATCTGTAACCAAATATTTCATATATGTATATTATACAGAATGTCTCAAAAATGTAATATCCGTAATTTGTGGAAATTCCTGAAGTAATTTCAAGCAACATTTTCCTTTAAAAAAACTTTTACAACTTTGTTAATAAATTATTAACAAAAAATACTGATTAATTAGGAAGTTAATTAGGAAGTACATAGCCTAATCGAGCTACAGCAATAGCGTTAGTTACATATTTCGAACACGAATAAATCAAAGTAACATATTTCGAAAGAAATGTATTGAATATTATATTATACATATATTTATTTATTTATTTATTATTCATAATATAATTCGATATAATTTTTTATCGATAAAAAAATATTTCAATAGTTCAATTTTATTCAACACACTAATGACCAATATTTTTTGTTAATAATTCATTAGGAAAACTATAACGAAAGTTTTTGCAAAGGAAAATGTTGTTTGAAATTATTCCAAGAATGAAAGTTTACGAAAGTTTTACATTTTTGGGATATCTTGTATTATCTTGTATTATATGTATTATATGTAATCATATACATATGTAATTAAATATACTGTGTAATAATATAGTGTATATGTATGCAAAAGAATTATTATACAACTGCAAAAAAGAATTTTCAAAAAAATATTATATCAAATTTGTAATTAAATGAAAAATAAAATGTTCAATCACATAAAATAGAAAGAGATTCTTATTACATGTTAATTACTTTTAAATTGCATTAATTATAAAGAATTTTTGCTAAATATTAATAATGTAATATATAACTAAAATGTTTATAAATAAATTTTATTTTGCAGTTGCGTCTCGTCTTTTAAACCTGCTATAATATACATATTAAATTCTATAAAACTTTTTCAGAACTAGATATGTATTTAAAAATTTGGCTACAGTAAAGTTCCAATTTCTGAATATGAGAGAAGTAGGACACTCACAAGAAATATTGCGACCCAGGCAAGACCGATATTATCGAATGATATCGTTCCTTGGAAAGGATTGTTACCCTGACCCTTGCATTCCGTATAGTAGTGATTCCAATTAACGCAGGTGTCGTTGGTGATAAACGTTGTATTATTGTTTGGCAACGCGGTATTATTGCAAACCACGTTTCCTAAAAGCGAGAACATTGAAAATTGAATAGCTTTTGAAATGTCATCTGCATTATTGTAATAACTTACAATGAAACTTATTTCACACTCGACTTTCGAATTGTTATTGTTAATATATTCGTTAATTATATATTAACATAAAAATATTTACATTATGACTATTAAATATTTATAATTAATTCTAGTTAGATCTAAGTTTTTATTATATTTTTCATTATACTATTCAGTAATATTTTATGCGTTTAAAAAAATTTGATATTATAACAAATTTGACAAAAAAAATGCTTTATTGAAAAATAAGGATATATGTAAATTTTTTTTAATTACTTTATATTATTTTTTTTTATTAATGCCATTAGATATTTTTCGACATTCGAGATAGAATTATAATTTATATTAAAATTATTATTTTTTATAGCAATTCTTGATTTAATGGTGGAATAATCAATACTAGCATTCAATTATTAACACGTTTATTATAAATTGGATCTTCATAATTATATATATTATATATTATAATATATATATAATATTATAATATATATTCTATATTATAAAATAATTATCGATTTTCATTATCCGAAAAAAAAATAAAATTTATTTCTGTATTATAAAAGATAATATAATTCTTTTTCAAATTTCATGATCTTTAATTAATGTTAAAAAATAACAAGGTATTATTATTCTATTTTATTGGATTCCCCCAAATTTTCGAGAAATTTTATACACTTAATTTTCTATTTGCACGATAGATTGATTTTAGAAACAATCGTAAATGAAAACCATATAAAAAGCAATATAATGTATACGAAAAAAAAAAAATTCTAGATGAAAAATCAATGCTAATAAGTTATTTTTAAACGAAGAATATAAAAATCATTGAATAAAATTCCGTTTAACTTCAATGTATATTTAATTATATTTTTAATATTTTTAATTTTAAATATTTCTTTAAGATATATGTGTATGTATATGTTTTAAAAAATAATAATATATCAATAAAGTAGAAATTCAAAAAAGCTAAAATATTAATAATAGTTACATTTTATTCGCCATTATTTTTTGTATTCTTTCATATGAAATTGAAGTTCAATCACATCCATTATTTTGGCTGTTCTTTGTTTGTAAAGAAAAAGATAGTCAAATGAAATGCTATTGGTAAAATGAAAGTTTCAATAAAATCAATATTACAGTGATATCTCTGATTTTGCAATATATTTGTAATAGAAAAAAGAAATGAAATTAGATTTCAAATGAATTTCCTTAATTCTTTGTATCAATTTTTTTTTATTCCTATATCTAACAATTGTTGTGATATTTTTAAGATAGTTCGATAATTACAACAAATACAAATTACATTATATACATTCTATATGAGAGTAAAATAAAATCCGGAATTCTAAATTCATTAGTTAAATAAATATATTTCTTTTTTTTTATTTCTTAAATATATACTTAAATATACGTAGATAAATATATACTATAGATAAATATTATATGACGTAAACATATATAGATATATTGATGTAAATATATGATATAAATATATTCCTAGATATACTTGGATGTACATTATATGCAAGAATGATTGTTATATTTGATTTTTGTACTAAATAGTTACATTGTACATAATAATAAAAATATAATATGTATTATATAATAATAATAATTATATATATTACATATAATAATATAATATTAAATTTTCTAAATATTATAGTCAATATATCTACATAAATAAAAAATTTTAAGACAAAAATGACAAGAAACGAATTATAATTGCATATTATCATTTTTTCTTCTATAGTAAAAACAAAATATCGAATGATTTCCCAAAATTCATCTCTTAAGCGTGTTTCTTTAAAGTCAAAACACAACAATAACAATGTGTTAATGTATATATACGCGTGTTCTAGTACGTATTACAGTTCTGTGTATTTTATTACCGTATTTTAAAAATTATCTTCAATAAATATTTAGAAATATTGTTTTTATTTTTAAACTAATATAAATATCTAAATATTATTTTGAAATCGTGTAGAAAATCGTATAGAATATAAGAATTAGATATATTCTTAATATTGGTAATTTGTTATACACTAAAATATTTACATAATAAATCAGATATCTTTATGAACATTTTCATGTAATAGATAATAAATAATATATTACATTTGAAATTGATTATTGTTTATCATGATAAATTAATATAAACATCAATCTCAGTCTATATATTTTCACATTAGATATATGTATATTTATTATATAATCAATTATACATACAAATTTTATTTTTTTAAACTAAACATGTCAATTTTTTTGATTATGATTGATTCTGATGGCGAAAATGATCTATTAATGTCATTTATAATTTAGGAGAATTTAATTAATTAAAAAACAGAACATATTACTACCACTTGGAATATATCTTTCCATGATAAGATAATTAATGACTAAGGATTAAATGCTTTAAAAGCAGATAGTAAGGAATTAATTGCTATGTATACATGATTATCTATGTCTATCATAATTTATGCTGACAATGATAATTTGCCATCCATTATTATATTAAGACTAAAATGATAAACTTGCCACATGTAATCCTAAGCCGAGGACAAAAAACTATAAAAATAAATTTATTTGAAATTGAAAGAATTTTTAAGAAATTTTCATTAGAAACAACTTTGATATAAGAAATTATATTTTATATATAAGAACTTATATTTTATATAGTACATATTGTACATATGTAGATTTTATGTAATAATTAAATATTTATATTTTTTTATTTGTTTAATCAATAATTGAAAATTACAAAAACGATTTAAATTATATTTTTGTAATTTTAATTAAGAAGTTTAGAATTATTTTTAAATTTCAAATGTAATTAATTTATTATTTAATTGCTTATTTGATCATTAAAAATTATTTATTTATTATTATTTCTTTTTTATTTTCGTTCGTCCTAATTTTTGTTAACAATTCAATGATCATGTAATAATATGTAATTTTAAGAGAAAACTTATTTATTTTTAAATAATTTGGATAATAATTAATTCCAAGAACAACAATTGACCTATATCATTGTCAATTAATCAATCGTTCGAAAATTATAGATAATTTAATTAAATTGATTATAGTTAAAATTTTTATTAAGTTTATACTTTTATACTTTTTAACTTTATATATTGATGTATTTATAAAAAAATCTTTTTTAATTAGAAAAAAAATAGAAAATAGAAAATCAATAAAAAATAGATTTATCAAAATTTTTTTTATTCTCTTTGTAAAAAAAATTATAAAAGATACTCTTTAAATTAAAAAACAGGAAAAGCTACATCAATAATTTTTTTCAAAAAATGATTTCTTTAAGCGAAATATAATAATCATTAAATCTTACAAAAATCTTTTAAAAATATTATTACGAAAAAAGTTATAAAAAATTAATAAGTTTCTTAATTATTGATAATTATCGCCGATAATATTTTATTATCGCCAATTTTATTTATAATATTGATTATCAGTAATCAAAAAAATTTTTTTCTTCTGACAATGGTTTTCATAATCATAATCAAAATCATTTAATCGAAAATATTAATTACAACAATACCTACATATAACTTTTTTCATATTTTGATTCTAACAATTAGATTTCTTATTCTCTAAATTCATAGAATGTCGATATTTTCAAAAATTGCCAAAAGATATCTCGTTTGTTTCCATCTCACGGTATATATTTTTTCCAAAATTATGTCAATGCATATTGAGATATGTCAAGGGAAACCAAAGACATGTTCCAATGGAAAGCGAATAAAAAAAAAAAGATTTGAACCAGTAAAATTGAATATCGAAGATGCACTCACCCAACTTGAGCGGTGGTAAGTTACTGCAAGAGTGCATTCCGTTGTCATCGGGACGCGAACAAATGTAGTCCTGACCCTGATATTCGAAGTACTTCTCAAGGTCGCTGGAAAAGTAACGAATTGCGATTAAAAATCGATTTCAAAATAAGATCAAATCCTCACTCCTAGTTTTTTTATAATTAATAAGTTGCATGTATATTATATGTATGTATATGCCTTATGCACGTATGCACTCATTACATGCTTCGCTTATGCGTGTACACCGTGTATATGCAGCGTGTTTTTTAATAGTATATTATATATATAAGATTATGTATAATATATATATATATATATATAT